TCTGTTGCTGTGAGCCATCATCAGTGTGAATCCTCGTAACCTTCCTCCACCTCCAATTTCATCACTTCCAGTGCCCAGGTTGAGCTCATCCACTCTTCATCACATCCAGGTTTTTCAACCATTCTCTTCATCTCATCACCACCACTGCCAGTGTCTACACTCCATGAGAAGTGTACCACACAGCGCTTCACTACCCCCTTAGAATATGATCACGTCATGATTTACATTTGTCATCCTTTTGTCCAATAAATAAGGTTCATTCTCAATCAAAGTCTCTCCTGATTGAATTGGCCTCAATAAATACAAGGGTTTGGATAATCTGCTAACTGTTGTTGTGTTTACTCTGTAATTCTCTATCTGCTCATTTCTTGACTGCATAAGTGATGTCGCTGTGTTAACAATCTTAACAATTACTTTGGTAAGTCCAATGTAATCATAACCAACTGAAATGATTGCCAAAACTATGAAAATGAAACTTAAGTTTTAGCACAAATTATCCTTAAAACAGCTGGGAGCTGGCCATCGCAGAACTCTGTCCTGAACTAGTCTGTTTGGTGAGACAAAAAAAATGTGAGAAAGAAGCTCTTGTTTATGCCACCACAGACCAAAATCCAGTGTAATGTGGCTTCACGTTGGGTAGCCAACATGGCAGAGGTAACACATACAAATCTGGGGCACAAGCACGCTTAACGTTGCAACACTGCATCAGTCAAACGCAGGACTCTTCCACCATTCAGGGGGGTAAGCGTAAGCCTGCTGTTTTGCCTGGCTACTAAACAAAACCTTGAATGACCTACTTTCATTCCTACCCCAATTCCTCCACCCCTTGCCTCCTCACACATGCACAGTGTAGCTAATACACTGGGACTGAATGGGGAAAGAAACTGTGAAGAGGATCGCCAAATCACAAGACACACAACCCGAAGCAGGTATGAGCTTCCTTTTCAAATGCAGGGGGAGGCTGATTCAATGAGACCGTTTCTAACCCAGAGGCCAGTCCAGTCAAAAAAAAAAAGAGTAAAAAAACATATTCCACGAGGCAATGTGTTTAGAATACAAACAAGCTGTTTGGGATGAGAGTGCACAGTGGCCCAGTGGTAAATCACTGCCCTACAGGCTATCAACAACCTCCTCCATCCAAAACACAATTCAATTATGGACGGTGCAGCAAAAATAGAGTAACAGGAAACATTTACAACAGCAACAGTAATTATGTTTGGATCCCATTCCACAGGAAGTCATTACCATAGATTTCAAGAATATCTTTATCATCCAAGTTAAGAAAGAATTTCCTCCTCTGGTTGGGATAATATTTTTGCTGGTGTCAGTGAAAGGACAGAGAGCAAAGCGCTGCAAGGAGGGGTGGAGTTACTGACAGAAAAGGGAGTGGCTTCCAACACCTCGTAAAGAGAATCATCTAAAAAGCAGAAGCGTCTTGCTAATGTCCTCTTCTCTTTCTGGCTAATCAGCTCTGCTCCAGATCTGCAGCTCAGGTAGGTTTAGGTGAAAACATTCAATGTGTGCTGGCAACATGGCATACTGCTTGAGAGGAGAGAAAGTTCTATAACAGCGCTGATGTCTGCAGCAGGAGAGCCTCGGACTCAAATTTCCTTACACACTGTGAAAAGCGATCCACACCACAAGTCCACACCTCTTCCTCTAGTTCAATATCCCCAGCTGAAACAGAAGACCAGCCTGTCATTTTGTATTAACCCAAGAAGAAGGACTATCCTGCAGAGGCTTCCACTAACCACTATCAGATCAGCTGATAATGACTTTCTTTTATTACGCATGCTGATGGGACAACGTTGCGCAATGCACCTACTTAGTAAGCTGATAGATGCTGGCAGCCAATTTGTGATCAAAAAAGAGGGAAAACTGCTGTTTATTAAATCTACAGTTGTGCAGACTGAGGCATGGCTTTGGAGCATGGCTTTGGCAGAGTGGCGAAGGGCATCATGGCAGATTTAAGGCTTGTGAGGAAGACGAGACAGAGGGATTCCTCTTTGCTCTATTTATTTTCTGAATAAACAGTTTTTACACAGTGACTATCAATCTAAAGGGCCTTTATATAAGACTCTAAGGTCTGTGGGAGAACCTTCCTGAGAAAAACAAAGTTATGTATCAACTGTAATCCTTCATCCTACCTCACACTATTCTTCAAACACTTCAGACGCACACCACTAATGCAAACATCGTCACGTCAACAAAGTGCAGATCTACTCCTTGTTATGGAGCTCTTACTGCTTCTTTAAAACATCATAACTCTATTGCACACAGCAAAAGGGCAGAACTGTTAAAACATCATTTAGCCTCTTCAGGTCATCTAACTGAGAAGCAGTACCTGGAAAAGTATGGCCACGTTGCTGCCATGTAGTTTGCTTATATTTTTTTTCTCTAGGCAGAGTCAGTTAGATACTTTTTTGTCGTCTGGCATCTCTGCTGTTTTTGTCACCATATGGTGGTTGCATTGTGGCCCCCAAATGTGCCTCTGACCCCCCTTAGGGAGGCCAGAGCCCCGTGTGAGCAAGGTGATGACTAGCGTGGGTCAGCACGGGCTTGTTGACACATTACAGACCACACAGACAAGACATGGTTAAGACAGCATATGTACGCCATGTGTGTCTCAATTACAGGCAGGCCATGACTGGTCAACTGCTTAGTACTGCCGCCAGAGATGACAGTGAATGGTAGAACACTCAGGAAATTACAGAAAATCTATTATATTCTTAGCTTAACTTTTACCTACTATCAAGAAAGTCTGAGCACTGTTGTCTTTTTAGGTTCCAAGACAAAAAACATGTAATAAAGAACATCTCTCAGCAGAGGGCTCCAACCTGACTGAAGTGACAGAGCAGATGAGAGTCAGAGATGTGGTAAATGTTTACATCGTGGGATGTTATTGCCTGCTTTGGTTGTCTGGTAGTTTTAACCTGCTCAGCTTTTATTGGGACATTGCTGTAAGAAAAAAAAATCTAAAGACTAAACTGTGTAAATTGTCACAGTTGGATCAATAAGAGCTGTTTACAACTAATGTCTTGATTTTGGGGCTGTTTTTATTGTTCTCCCAGTAACTGCATCTTGAATCTCTTAAAGTAATTGAGTCTGAATCCAAATGTAATGGTATCCATCCTCTTTTATTTTTACACAATCGGTGTCCACTGCAACTGAATTTATAACAGCATGGTTGACTAATGCCTATGTTCACTCTTGCCATAATAAAAACACTATAGTGATGTGAAATAAAATATTTCATTTAAATTATTTTAAATGAAATATTCTTTAAAAAAATTCCCAATATTTAAACTTCAGTATTCAGTGCAACAACAACACCAAATAAATATAAAAAAACAATGTATACTAAATGTATTGTTTTGTTTGTATATGTAAACTAATATTAAGACTGAAAAATGTATATTTCCATAATTAGCGGCATTGTGCTTTAAAATACAGCAGAGTGTAAAATAATCTGCCATCTGTGTCTTTAGAGCCATACAGTAACTATTCAATGTGAATTATACAGCCAACCATTTTCCAGATCATCACTCACTGGAAAACAAAGATACATCCTCACCCCATTACTGCAGAAAAAAAACAACTACTGCATATCAAATTAATAATGACTGACACTTGAATAAGCTTCAGTTGAGACATCAAACCTCAATCAAAATTAAATGAAAACTCTAAAATATCTAAGAGTCTTTTCATATCTGATTTGTGTATGTGTAGGTGTGTCTGTGTGTATGTGTGTGACCACAAAGTAAAACAAACAAGCACACTACAACGCTAACCAGCCCTGAGAGCTGAGGGCATCTTTCAAGTGGCCGACCGACAGTGAAGCCTCTCATCTCCCAACCTAACCGCACTCACAGGTCACAACGAGAGCTTTGATCACTCCAAAAGTCTGTTTCCCATTCACATACTCAGCATGCTCATTGATTTTCCATAAGGATGGCTGAGGAGCTGATATGAGCCCCCCCACCCCCCTTTTATTTTACGCATGTGTATCAGTATCAGAAGAGGTTTAAAAGCCTGAGCTGCTAAATTCCTCGGGTTTAAGGACAGCAAGCCCTGATAAGGGATGAGGACCAAGTGTTATTAAAGTCCAGGACAGAAAGACAAAAATGCATTTGTCAGTTTTGAGGCAGTGGTTCAGAGATCATCTTGGGGAAAATGTTTGACATAAATAATTAGGCATGAGATGATTCACTGGCGACGTATCCTCAGCTTCCCTTTTACATCAGCACTTGAAAGCTGCTTCTAAAATAGCATCCCTTTAGCAACAAAATACCAAATTTGGTACTTTATGTCCAAATAGCAAAAGAGAGCTACACTTGCACCTACACTGTATGTGTCTACATGAATTAAATCAGCACCTTGGTCTGACAGGTGCAATGTTTTCAGAAGAAAAATGTGTGAAAGATTTAAGCAGAAGATAACAGCAGAAGATCATTTATATTTTAAAGAGATCATTGTATGAGGCATTATATAATAATGTAACTGTTATGAGAAAAAAAATTTCATTTGTTATATTTCCATGTTTGCCTACCAATGGCTGCACTGTTACAAGATATCAGTCAGAAGAGAGGAATCAGAACTGATCAAAGATCCAAGCACACCCAGACAAACTGTAATCCACACTGCAAACAGGATCGAACAACAACAACAACAACAACAACAACAACAATGATAATAACAATAATGATAATAATAGTGTATTGTTATTGTTTATATGTATACACTAGCTATACATTTGACATACATATATTCTTTTCTGTAACCCTTAGTATTAAATGCATTGATTACCAGCCAAAATAATAGTTCAATAATATTGACAAAAAAATATGAAACAAAAATATTGATATTCATAAAACATCCCTTATTTTACTGCAATTTCACTGCTTCATCCTTTCTTCCCTTTGCCTCAAATACAAAACTCGTCATTGGAAGAAGAAAACAAGCCAGAAATAAAAAAGTTGAATGGCACATAAACTTCTTACCTGGTCCCTCTGGATGCATGGCAGAGAGGTCCGGCGATGTGACTTACTGTTGGACTGACTGTGTGCCATGTCTGAGGCTATCACAGAACTGGACCTCCTGCGCCTTTTAAATACAGGGATCTCTTCCCTGGCTCCAGTCACGGGGGTGCAGCCCTCCTTGTGTCTCCCTTGGTTGGGAAGGAGCTTGTCAGCATACCTCGCCAGCAGGATGCCCAGCACTCCAACCAGGTACGCTACGTACGGTCTCCAAGTGGCCCGTACTTTGTGCAGCGAGAAGAGTGAGATAGTCCTGACTATGCTGATGAAAAGGATCACAGATATGCCCTGGTTCAGCCGTGCTACCATGAGTGCGCCGGTGGCCACGCAGATGAGCACGACCACGGCTGCTGTCGTGAATGAAAACAGCTGCTCATCTGTCCCGTCCAGAAGAGACCACGCCGCTGCTTCGCCCAGGTGGCACAAGGTTAGGAGGGAGAGAGCGGTCTGGATTAGAACCCCGCAGCGGATTAAGTAGACACCGACCCAAAAGAAGGCACATACGAGGGTGAACAATGTCGAAATCACACTCCAGCAAGTTTGCAACAGCTCCGCCGCGCAGCCTGAAACGAAGTGAAGGGGAGACGATGAATGCGAGAGTGTGTTGTCAGCGCTGCTGCTTGCTTCAGCTTTCCAGTCTGCACATTTGACCAACAGAGCGAGAAAAACCGAAAGCGACCCCGCACACACGGCACTCCGGAGTCTCTGGGAACTCCATATTTTTGTGAACATTAGCCTCACCCACGACTCGTAATCTCGGTCACGGCACAGTGGGATGACACATGTTTTCACATAACCATTGCGATCCGGTGCGCTGAAGCTTTTTTCATGAGTGCTGCTTTGCGCACCGGTCCTGTCAGATTCTGCGGGCATCGCCATCACTCATGGCAGATACGAAGTATGAGGAAGTCTATTATGCATCTATATCAGTGTGGTCATGGGACAGGGCTTGAGTAAGTGACAAAACAAACATCATTCATTGTACGCATAATGAAAAAGTACAGCAAATACGCACCGATGCGTCTCCATTTACGCATGGAGATGTGATGCCACTGAACACATTCTCTTAAGTTTTCCAGGTGCGGGTTGAGAAACGGCTGCCCGTCAGCATGAAAGGAGTCTGAATTACAGAGTAACTCAGACGTTATACAGATCTAGGGCATCGCTTCCCTGCACACACACACACACACACACGTCCTGCTTTGCCCTCCTTTGTTGAGCGCCGTCTCCTCGACTTCTGTTGTCTTTCTCGTCGCTTTGTGGCTCCACGGCCCGGCCCGTGCAGCAGCAGCAGTCTTTGCAAAACATGGGTCCCGTTCCGTGAACATTCAGCGATAAAACGAGCTCTCTGTGTCACTTTGGCCACTTCCCGGTCTCTCCTGAAACGGTAGTGTCCCCTGATACTGTCGAGGATAAACGCTGCTGAGGAATTTTAAGCTGTTTGAGTGAGCGTCCGCCAGGTTATTGCTCGGCGTTTTGAGGGGCAATTTCGGAGTATTTGTCACCAGCTCTCCAACCAGCCGCGAGTCTCAGCTCATTCACACCCCCGACTTCCACAGGGAGCAAGATATTGCAGCAGCAGTGAAACCCCCAAATCTTCCCTCAGCCAGCCCAGCAGGCGTTGTCCTCACTAGATCTGACTTATGTTTAGATTTTTTTATTTCATTTTTTGTCTCTAAAATGTGTTTAGTGGCTCAGTACATATAGCGGGTCGCTGACGGTTGGATCCCCCTGTCCATGTGTCAAAGTGTCCTTGAGCAAGACAATGAACCCCAAGTTGCTCCCTGTTCGGCTTCCCACTGCTCCTAGTGTATAGCATGGGTCAAATGCAGAGGAGACATTATAATTCAATGTATGTAAAATTACTGAGAATATGATAATAAAGACTGAAAGGCCCAGATATTTCTTCTTCTAATATATAATATATTGATTCTTCTGGTTTATTTTAAAATATAAACTGTTGCAGAACCTGTTTTTGTATAAAATGGGGTTGACCTATATTTTCCAAGAGAGCTCCTCTCTGAATGGAATAAATATGGTGTATTTAGGAACAAACATTTCAGGCCATGTTTTATCTCAGTGGATGCATTTTGAGTTGCGGTTTTGGTGTAATATTTTTACAAGGTTACCAAGCCAACTTGAGGGCTTTAAACTGCCTTGACATGAATTCATTGTTTTTAACAGGGGAGAAGTGTCTAGATGCTGACAAATGGAAGCTGTGCATGCAAACTGTTTTGCAGTAAAATTCCCAGAATAGTCCCGTGGTTGCCCTCCAGCTTGACTCCTTATGTCCCCACTCCACCAGGTCATTGAAATATTCATCACACTTTAAGTGTCACTGATGATGTGTTGCATCACAGGTTTCCATCAATGTTTCAGCATGCAGATCTTCTCTTGTGCACCACAGTTCAGGAGGCACACGTGTGTTCCCTCCAATGTCCATGTTGTGCTCTCATGGGATCACACCCTCTCACATATATAGACATCTACAGTCAAGTAAGCACATGTTATCTCACTCATGTTTGCTGATGCACACACAAAGAAGCTGGCATATACACTGTGCAAGCTCCTTTTCGACTCTGTAAATCTCCTTCCTCCCATCTGGTCTTCTCACAGCATGTATATGAAGATGGAGTATTCTAATAGACAATGCTCTGTCATGCCATGGTCTTGTTTTGCAGCCTTCAAATCAGAGAAACAGCACATTTAGCAGGACCCGTGTGATGCTAAAGTTCTTGAAATCTTAGGCTTTCCCCACCCCTCAGTCTTCTTCCTACCTGTGTTCATACCCCCACATCAGCAGCAGAACTCTTTCTGTCCATTGGTGCAGACAGAGTCCTGTGTATCCCTTGTCAGTTGTGATTAGTGGGAAGCATGGGAGGAGACGAAGCGCTAACAGGGAGCGATAGGAGCAGGAGGAGGCCAAGTCCTGTCCATCGCCTCTCAGCACATGCTTGCTGAGTGCCAAACAGCCCTTTCAATGCAGTGTATCACACAGGACAGCTGCCGGCTTCAAGTGTGAGCGGGTTTTTGTGACAACATGTTATTTTCACCTTATCAGAGCCCATGGGTAACTTTCCTTTGGAAGAGTTGATTGCTTCATCTGACTGGTTTATTTCATGGGAGACAGGAACAGAAACATTCCCTCTTTACAAACAGAAGATAAGAGCAAGACAAAGGAGAGAGGAGTTGAAGTCAGCCAGAAAACAGGGATATACAAGCATTAAAAGCCAACAGCTGTCCTTGCAGACTGTCAATGGTCAGGAAGAATTACTCTCATCATAACCTGCATCTTTCTCCTATTAAAAGCATCCCTTCTGGCGCTGATGTAGTTTGCAGCAGATGAAGATGAATTACTACAGTCCTCAGCCCTCGCCACTACACCCATCATCTCAGGACAAGATCATTGTGAAACTTCTTTTTCAGTTGTCTCTACAAACATGTCTAGAGGCCATTCTGAATTACCCGTAAGAATTTTAACGACTGGGGGAATGCACACGTAACCGTCTTACCCTATTTGGCAATGCCACGGTCCATTGTAAAAGAGGAATCCTTTTATGAGGAGCAGTTCATCAGACATCTGGTTTGGATGTTGCATGGGGGGNNGGGGGGGGGGGGCAGTCATCTGATGTGACCTCGCTCAGACCTGCGCTGGCCTCTGGGGCTGTGGCTGACAGATCTGATGTATACTCAGGAAGTGTGAATGTCAAAGGCTGGTTTCATACGGAGTTGTTTACCATTAAACTACTTCACCCTGCAGACCTGATATGCCCTCCTCATATCATACTTCACACTTGATTTACACCTTCAGGCAAATACAGCTGTAAATAGCTTTCAATAATCTTAAATATAACTATACATCAAGACCAGCTGCCTTTTTGATCACACTTGGCAGGAATT